ATAGAAGATTTTTCACGCCTTTGTTTGAATATATTGAAGATAAATATTAAGGCAAATTCTATTAAATCAGTTGAAGAGATGGTTGCATAGAAGTAGTAATAGAAGCATAAAGTTTAAGTCGAATTCGACTGCATAGAAAATGACCTATTTTAAGGACATGTTGCTAAAATGAAGTCAAATGTATGGCCATTAAAGAGATGAGAAACCACTTAAGTGCGTTTGTACACACGGGGATTATAGTTCATATTAACTACCCGAAGACGTATGAGTAGGGCTAAATGAACATATACCTTGTTTCTAATAGAACTTTTGAGTTTTAGTACTAAATTTCAAAAATATTAGATCCATCTTATGAACATTTCTTTAATTTTATACATTTTAGGAGAGGTTTCAATATCTCAGTTTATCTTCCTTTGTGAATGGAAACATATTAATTTGAAGCTTTTCGTCAAAGTTATTTGTGATTGGCGTTTTTGGCAGATTTTATCAAAGTGGTTTTATGAAAGTTGCATCGTATATATATATATATATATATATATATATATGGGTACTTAATTATCCTTTTAATTTATTACTAGCGAAATCATTTTACCCCTTTAAGAATTGTCAAACTTTTGGAAGCACTTTGATAACGTCGAGATAACAACTGGATATCAATAAAATTTTGTTGGGAATGGTTGGAGCTTATGAATTCTTTTTCTAACTATGTAGTCTTTTACTAACTCTAATTTTCAAATCCTATGATTCATGTTGAGTATAAAATCTTGAAAATTCGAAAAAAATGTAAATAGGCAATAAGTATTTATTGACTTTAATAACGCAATCTACTATTTGGTAAATCGTCTTTCAGCGTAAATCTAATTAAGCTAGGACAAAAAGCTTTTTTGTTTTTATAGCCAAACATCATTTGGCATTTGGAGAAAGCGATTTGGAGGAAAATCTCTTTAGGTTAAAAGTTGGCTTTAACTAGATCATTTTGGGAGGATTTTTTTTGTTAAGGAATGTTTTGTAACCTCAAAATGACGATATGTACAAAAGTACTCAAAGAGCTTCTAATTCTTAGAGAAATTTCTCAATTCAAACCACATTATCTCCTCTTATGAAGTTCAAACTCACACGTATTTATTATTAGTGACGCACCACTTGATAATTGTTTTGAATTAAAATATAAATTGGTATTTCTATTATTAGGCACATGTAAACTATAATTTAATTTTGATCATTCATGTGCATTATTATTAAATATCGGCATTTATAATTAAGCTACAGATATTATAAAAATTTATAATTGTCTGTTTCAATAAACTCAAGTCGGCCATTTATTGCTATTCTCACAATTCGATATGGGTTTTATATAATAAATACTCTTTTCTCATTATTTTATAAATCTTATTTTCTCAAATTTATTCAAATTATCAGACGCTTTGTCTGATCCACCGATTGAATTATTAATTGATTATTTATAATGATCTCATTAAATTTTGGTTGAAAAAAGACCAATTTTATAAAATGATCCAAGGTTTCTCAATTTCATTGCAATTATAGTGCGAAATATTTACTCCACCTTTAATTTTATACTAATTATACTTATGGTAGAACAAGTCGTGCATTGCATCACTGGGAAGTTTGATAGTCATGATAGCAAATTCAATTGTTACAATAGAAGAATCGAAGTAGGGCTTCAAAAAAGGGCTGACTTTGATTACGGTAATCGATCGGAATAAATCAATTGGTCTTAAACAGTACGGTTATCTACGTCATAGTCTACTTTCCGAATATGAACTTGCGGTTTAAATCTTCCAGTGCTTATTGACCAGATAAAGATATAGTGCTTCTAATTCCTTTGTTCTTGTAAAATCTAAGGCAGCTAATGTTTTCTTAAAAGTATCAAAAAATTTGAATAGAAACATTAGTCCTATTTTTCACATTCTATTACTAACAATACTGATTTGTTGAAGGTAAGTTTCAGCTTATATGTTATTTTTTAAAACATGTTGTTAAGCTCTAAGAAGTTGAAATAAGTTGGCTATCATTCCTAATCAATTATTATTAGCTTTATCATGCCATATTTTTATCTTCTTACAATATGAGGGGCATCATTTTGAGTTGTTCGTTTGGAAAAGAAATTCAGACACAATTCATGGATAATTTATTCCCTCTGGATTGTTCTCCGCTCTGGAGACAACAGTTACATAATTGAAGAAATCTATACTTGCTTTTTCTCCATTCCTTCTCAAAAATATTAGTTTATTTAGCTAGACCAAAAACGAGAAATTCATTGAGTGTTATTTGACTTCAATTGCACTCTTCCATTAGTAACTCGTACTTGTTTTTTTCTTGAAAAATAGTTTACAGCTGCTTAAAACTTCATTTTAATTTCAATTTAATCGGATTTATTTTGAATTAATAGCCTATATAGTGTGGGACCATTGTACTGTCCGAATGACTGAATAGAAAATGAGCCGAATAGGTAAAACCATATGTGCATATGCATAGAGGTCCAGACTTTTATTGACTTTTATTAGTACTCAGAATAGTTTGTCAAAATTTCTATTTTCCAACCGGTGAACGAAGAGGCTTTTATTTCTGTCAAATTCACTTTGTTGTCTTAAATTGGAAGTCATTTCTCGTTGCCTTAAATACTAAATTATTAGAACATTTTGTTTGAACGGGCAACAAAAAACTACCAAAGTGCATTTCAGAATTACCTTTGATGTCAAATTCGATAAAAAAAGAAGTTCATTCAAGCTCTAAAATAGTGCACTTTTAGATCGTTAAACTTTATCTTGATGAAACGGTTCCACTTATCGAGTAAGAATCCATAAATAAGCGCAAGATTTTGAATCGATGTTTTTTATTGCGAAAGAATTTTTTTTCTATCTTGACTAAACTGTCTAACAAAGTTGTGTTTATAATCTTTGTAAATTTAGTACGAGGTGATTGAAATGTTGACCAATTTCGGTGCTAAACTGGACACACCAACTGTGAACGGTGACGAGACGGTGTTCGACATTTGTGAAGACGAAAAACTCCACGAGCGACTGGTAATTCTAAGAGAAGAACTCAAAAGATGGCAGAACTTTCATTTGGCTCAAAATAAAAACACAACAAATGGAAATGGTGATCTCAATAACAAAAATCGAGGCCTTAGTCGACGGAGGAGCAGTAATCCAAGAAGGTAAATAAGTGTCTCTAGTCAAAAGCGTTATTTTTCAGTACTAAGGTAAATAAATTAGGTGGGATTACTCTCACTACAGCACACTCACTTGGCTAGCTAGTAGTTTAAGATGATTTGGTGAACAAGATCAATACTTTTCTTGGAACTGGCGGATTGAAAGACTTTACTGTTTTGTACTCCTATGTTTATTTCGCTTAGGTAAAAGGTTTATGTGTATCGCTACTTTGCAAGTAATTCGATTTTGCCCTCCTGAGGACGCAGTTCAACAACTTTAAATTTTGACAACTTTTAGGTACAACTGCCACATGGCTATGTAGTGATGGTTGACCTCGAATCATTATCCGATTGACCCTAGATTAACGTGGTGCAGTTAAATAGGCCCTTAAAGGTGTTTATTAAATTCTAAGAATGCTGTTTTATTCAAAGCTTTCTGGAATTGCTAAGATGTGTTACATTTGATATTTAAATTCTTTTTATCATAAGCGCTTTGTACGTGTTTAAAAGCATATTGGTCTTTGATACTTCACAGACCCTGTGATCGTTTTTTACGATATTAGTTGATAGTTATTGCACTTTCCACTAGGGCATCTGTTTTCCGAACCTTATATTGTCTGATATACCTGATCAATTAAGCACCTGTGGATCGGTACATCCGTCTAATTTTAATTACTCTACACGCTGACGCATATATTTTCGAAGTATTAAAGTAAAAGGAAGCCAAAGAATTTTGTAAACTACCATTTGGCACTCAAGAGGAGTTTAAAGCCAGGGGGTTGTAAATTATAAAGTGTGTATGACATATTTAAACAGCATATTCATTTCGAAATGAGTTGGGGTACCGAATACAATAATGTTAGTGAGTAACAAATCATTGCATTAAATAATTATTTAAATTGAAATATCACCTATTATCTTAGTGAAGTTTAAATTTGATAAAATCTAATTTCTCTGAATTGTGTTTTTCTGGCTACTACTTCCATGACTAATATAGTTTGCTAGCCTTCGCTCAAATTGATGAATTGACTATTTGCAAAAACAGCTTTAACAGTCATATTCTACCCTGCAATTGGAAAGCCATGTCTACCAGATAAAAGTTTCGGTGGATTCCCAGGAAAGTTTTCACTATTTCATAAAACCACTTTTACTAAAGTTTCTTTTTTCATCGATATTTTTAAGCCAGATCATTTAGAAGTTTTAATTTCCGACTGAGTATTTAAAATTTGTGTCATATAAAAATAGATTTTGAGATGCTATAGATAAAAACGACTCAACTTATTTCCTTCTGTTTTTTTAATAAATACGGTTATCATGTTAAAGGAACGTCATAAAAGCCCATTACTGAATGGCATTTATTGTTCCTCGTAATGCAATTACCAACCATGAATTTTCGCGTTAGAATTCCAGAGTTTTGATTGAACCGCTTGATTTTTCTCTCATTTCGTTTAATTTTTTTAATTAAGTCAAATAAATTTAATAATCCTGCTTCTTGCTTCTCATTAATATTGGACGATCCAGTTTATTTAATGTGAATCTACTTTCATGATCTGCTTCTTTTAATTAAAAGACAGGGAGATTAGATGGATGCTTTTAATTTGTTCCTGCACTTGGCGAAAAAATCCCAATCTAATAGAAATTATGAAAAAGGATGAACATAATTTACCTTTTTTCCAAATCTGGCTCTATCGTATGTTTAACATAACTTTTCACGTGCGTTTATTTGACATCGGCAGATCATATCATATTTATTTTTATTCTGGAATTGTTTGCATTTAGTCAAAATGAAACATCTGAAATGTCTTATGAAAAATATCCATTCAATTTCAGTGCAATAATATTTGCTGTTGCCAATTTAATTTGTTTCCTAATTTTATTAATGTTTGCCAAAGTTGACCTCATTAAAAGTATCTACTTTAATAAAGCAATACGTATAATTAACTTTATCGGTGAGTGAAAGACAAAGTTTTATTATTTGTAATATCTTTTTCCCATTTTCGGAGTCAGACCTGGCCAAACGATCTAGTAGAGGCTTAAAATGGGTTAAAATTTAAATATTTAATGAAGTCAAGATTTGGCGAGCCTTATATTACTTGAATTTTGGAAGTACTAGGCTGTGCCTTTTGGACAAAACCTTACTGCTATACCAAATCTCTGTTTTCTTGGCTATTTGGCTTTGTTAATAGCAAGGTTGAAAAAAAGCTTGTCAAACAGTGGATTTATTTGTTTCTTCTAACAGTCATGAATATGTAGATTGGACTACAAAAGGTATATTTAGCAAAGCAGAGCTCACTGCCCTTCAATCCCTAAGTCATAAAAAATGAAAGTTTGCTTGATTGTAACGTTTATGGGATTGCCAGTTGAATGAATTGAGCGTTTTTTTTCATGGAAGCAACTTAGAAATAAATATATTTTTTATTGGCTTCTTTTAAAATTTATGAAAAAAAAAATTTTTGTGTCTTTGAGCAAATATTGATTAGTTTCTGAGGGGAGTTGGGGGGAGGGGTTAAGTGAAGTGCCGCCATTTTCTCAATAATTCCTAGCGAATCCCCACTCATACAAGTCTTAAAACATGGTAGAGGAGATATAAATAGAAAGGTCTTAGTTTTACGGTACTGTTTATTTGTCGTCATTGGATTCATCGTGTGATTTGCTCCAATTAAGGAAAAAAGGGATAGAATGTCTCAAATTTAGTATCACCATATTTGCCAGAATTATCAACAACTTGAAATTTATATTATTTTTCGATAATTTTACCAGATACTTCATTTTAAAGAAGGATAATGGAGAAAATGGTTTTTAGAATGGTTATGAAATTAAAAGAACGGTTAAATTTTAAGCGCGAATAGACCTAAAATTGAAGTTTAAAGAGTTCTGCAATTTTATTTCCGACCTTAGCGATTTTTCGCAAGATTTTGCTGAATATATCAAAGGGTGTGATATATTGTATCCTAAAGACATTTTGACAACTCAAAAATTACATTTTATAAGAGTATTAGTCTTTTAAATGATTGAACTTTAAAAAACACCCCACTGTCAAGCCAATGAAAATTTTTTCAATGCTGTCAGGTATTATTAGATCTGTGAAACCTGTGGAAATTGTGCACTACGAGAAAAGTACAGACAGTGAAATCTTAGGTCCCATCAAGATAGAGTTCATCTCGTTAGTAACCTAGTTAGGTCTGAAGTATTATCAATTGGTCGTAGTTTATTTTACCTAACAGCGAAAACCTCACTTCAAAAAGAAAAAAATGTACAGGATTATTAGTTTCCTTCTGTAGTCAAGCGCCCTTATTAATTCTTGGAGCTTTCTTATGGAATATAATGCGTTAAAGCTGTCACACATTTGAAGGATGACTAAAGTAATAACGAAAGAAGGTACTTAAATATCACATCACTTTTGAGAAAATCGACTGAAAGTCATTGCATGCATGAGTCAAGATTCCAATAAAAAATTGGTAACTGTTACTTTATTTCTAGTTCTTCTATTCGACGAACGAGTATGCGAGACAAAGCGAAAATCTCTTGGAAGGAAGCTCAACAAGAGGCAGAGACCCGTTCCTTAGTTTTACCAACAGCTGACGGTGATTCTGTAGTAGAGGAGGTTGTGAAAACGCCCGTTTGGATGACAGCAGTGGAAGACTCTAATGAAGGAGGCACTTCCAGTAGCGCATTTCTCAAAAACAGTCCCCCTGAAGGCATTGCCATTCCATCCAGTATAGACATACATCATCGACGTCCAACAGGTCCCGCCCTTCTCGCTCCACTTCCAGTCAATTCCAATTTGCGCTCAAGGCCTTCCAATAACGGTTCCGTGGCGAAAAAAAACTCCGTATGTTTCAAGTTCTTTTTGCCCCGCTATATGTTACGCTAAAGTCTCGACACTAACGTCTAATGGAGTTGTTAGATCATAGATTTGAAATCACATTTAGATGACTGGCGGATATGAGTACATAATCGCTCCTGCTCAAGTAAATATATAAATAAATTATAACCTGTTATCAGGTTATCAGATTTTAACTGACATCTCCGAAATGGGATAAGTAGGAGTGGCCCACGTCGTGTACAGTCCTCCCAACTGAAGTTCTTTTGGAAGCCTATGAAACTGCAATGCATATTAGACTTCTATACTTCACACACAAACTTATTATGAGGAGGCTAAATAACGTAAGCACTGATCAAATATATATATATATATATATATATATATATATTCTAAATAAAAGAAAAATATCGCTCTCTATTCAAGGTTTACTTTCGAAGAATGATTTATATCTAAGCGTTTGCCAATCATTTCGCCGACATAACCAACATTTCGTAATGACTCATTGGGGCCTTTGATTGAAATAACACCATGTAGATAATTCAACTCGCTCTTGAACAATTATGCGTCTCCCACTTGCTCATTTCAAATCAGTGCACTCTCTCTCCCTCTCTGATATGGGGCCTGCTTCTAGAACACTCACCACAGCTTGTTATTTATATATTTTACATTATAGTTACACTTCCCCATGACCATTTTTCGTATAAGGTTATGCTATGAGGTTCCACATTCTGACATCTTTATTGCTAACTATAAAATTTGCTTCTCTCATCACTTTGATGCCAGCCTATTGAAACAAGGCAAAAGATATACTGCCAACAAATTTCAAATTTATTTGCCAATGAAGCTTTATCTTTGATTTTTTAAAATATTTTCATATGTTAGAATATAAGTATTCTAGCAGTCGTGAGCTGATATGTTTGGGAGTTCATGACAGCTGTATTTTCAACAATTGCATAACAAAAGGTAATTACTATAACGTCAACATGCAAATGTTCTATCTCGGAAAATACGATGCGCATTCAGTGCAACTTGAAAGTCTCTTAACCTACTGGTGGTAATTGGTCCATACTGTATGAATGAACGAAACTATTAGCCCTTCGATTTTAGTTTAACCTTCAACAGTCAGTTACATGGAAAGACTTGCACCTTTATAAGTAGCCATATTTAATCAAACAGATGTCTAGGCTTTCGCCCTACTTATTTCATGTCATATTTATAACATTCTTGAGCACCAATCTTGCAATCTATTTATCTATTTTTATTTATTTCAAATGGCAGGCATTTCGATAGCTATCATTAGCCCTTTAGTTGACTTCGGGCTTAACAGAAGGGAGAAAAATTCGACATGGGAACAGAAGAGCAATTCACAGATGTAAAAGAGACAGACAGACACAAAAGTAGAGGAAAAGGTAAGATGAGTAATGTGAAGGGGTCGAATATGACATTCAATGGGGTCATGGTAGTTTGAAGTCAGAGGTCAACTGCCAGTTAATAGACTTTTTGCCGTATGAGTATACGTTGCCCAGGGTGCACCACGTGGGGGTAAGTCTATCGCACACCCATCTTGCAATCAAAATGAGTTAAAATCAAGCCCTCAACTACATACAAATTAGACCAATGAAGAGTCGATCAGACGGACATGGAACAAATAGGCGCATGTTCTCATCACTTGTAATCTTTATGCTTCTCCGTCACTATTTCCATCTTGCCTGCTGCCAACAGACCCCACCCTTTCATATTTACTTGTTTTATAAGTATGGATGGCTCCAATGAAGTTCTACTTTGTCCACAGTTTCCACAGCATAATCTTTCTTATGTCCCACATTACTTTGATAGTCTCACAACTGTTCAGTATCATTACTTAGTGTAATCAAGGTAACTAACATTGTTT